GTACTATGAAACATAAACAGTCTAAACGCACTTGGGTAAACATTTGTGCCAAGGTGGCGCTCAGACTGTGCTTAGCCTGGATAATTTTTTGAAATTTTAATCCAAAATTTTAAAAATATTTTATGGAAAATAAAAAAAAATGTAATCATTTTTTATTCATTCAAATCGGTTGATCCGTGCGCCCGAAAACGTGGATGAAAAATTGTATCCATACATACATACATACACACACACATTTTTTCTGAAGTATGCCAAAATGTTCAGAAACCTTTAAAACGTGAAGAAATGCAAAATTTTTCAATTTCGACTTTAGGACGATTACAATACCCTACGGAAACTTAAAAATAATGATATATCTAAAGGTCGTTCTATTGTATAAACAAGTGTCGAAATAATTGTTAGGGATGTTTATTCGCCTCTTGCTTTGAAAAAAAGTTCAGAATTTCCAAAATATTTCATAATATTAAAAAATCGAACTTTTCAAAAAGGTCATTTTTTTTCAAAAAAATTTAAAAATCTCCAAAATCGATTTCCACAGTGTTCTAAAAGAAAATTGAATCTAAAAATAATAATTTCTGGTGCAGGAAGTTCCAGGAATTTGCCTTAAGGCACGATGCTATACACCACTAGTTCTATATATCTTTACGTTTCAGACCTTTCTGAACATTTTGGCATACTTCAGAAAAAAATGATGTATGTGTGTAGGATGATATAGGTACGTGCCAACAAAAAATCATTTTTTTCAAAGTTTTCAAAAATGTTAATATCATGGTACAGGAAGTTCTAGCAATTTGCCTTAAGGCACGATGCTATGCACCAATAGTTTGAAATATCTTTACGTTTCAGACCTTTCTGAACATTTTAGCATACCTTAGAAAAAAAAATGTAAGTGTGTAGGATAATGTATGTGTGTACCATTAGTGCCAGCAAAGTAGAAAGATTCAAAAAATGCAAAATTCTCAAAAATCAAAGTTTAAATCAAATATTATAGTACGGGAAGTTCCAGCAATTTGCCTTAAAGCACAATGCTATACACATCGGAAAAATATGATGTATGTGTTTATGTGATATACACGTATATGCGCGCCAGCAAAGTAGAAACATACAAAAATTTCAAAATTCTCAAAAATCAATTTTTTTTCAAAGTTTTCAAAAATGTTAGTATCATTGTACGGAAAGTTCCAGCAATTTGCCTTAGGGCACGATACGACTCTGTAAGGATCAAACCCATGGACTCAAAAAAACAGTAAATTATGATGTGGTGATCTTTCATTTTACAAAGTATATCTCATAAAATCATCCGTCTATCAATAATTAAGAAAAGTGTTGCCTGATATATTTAGTGTTACCCAATTGTACAAAGTATTGCCATATGCAATTGGTGTTACCCAACTCCAACCAATTAATACCTATTCATTACTAATCGAACGCTATGTATATAATTACGAGTTAATTACTAGCTCTGTAGGGATCAGACACATGGATTCTAAAATAAAAACAGTAAATTATGATGTGGTGATCTTTCATTTTACATTTTACATAAAATCATTCTTCTAAAAATTTACAAAAAGTGTTACCTGACGCAATTGGTGTTACCGAAACAAAAAGTATTGCCATATGCAATTAGTGTTACCCAAAACGAAACAATTGATGTTTATCCATTAGACTCTACTGACGAGCAAACTTTGTTTCAAAATGCCAAAGAAAAAAAATAGATAAGAAAAAATTTCTCAAACTAAGGACTCTGCTGACGAGCAAACTTTGTTACAGAATGCCAAAAATAAAAAAATAGATACAAGAAAATTTCTCAAAATAAGGGACTCTACTGACTGGCAAACTTTATTTGAAATTACAAAAGAGCAAAAAATTTACTCTGTGCGGATCAGAGACATGGAATATTATGTGTGAGACCAGGAAGACTCAAATATAACATAGTTATCGTATATTATACAAAATCATTATTACATCAATATTTAAAAAAAGTGTTGCCCAACGCAATTGGTGTTACCCAAACAAAAACTCTTACCATATGCAATTGGTGTTACCCAACTTCAACCAATTGAAGCTTATCCATTACTAATCGAATGCTATGTTTGTAATTACGAGTTAATTACTAGAACTTCAACAAATCAATTAAATGATAATTAATCTAGAAGTCTTTACAGATTTCAAAACAGAAGATCATCATGTGCAACATGGGACGGATTTGGCACGGGAACAAAACATCTGTTTTCGTAAATTTAGAGAGAGAATCAATCTATAGTATAAACACATAGCATTCTTATTTTGAAATTAAATAAATATTATTATAAACTGAACAAATTTTTGCACAATATCCTGTTACGAGTCAAAATAGTCATAGTCATAATAAACATTTTTTATATATATATATATATATATATATATATATATACAATTCTTCTGTACGGGTGTATAATTTGATACTTCTCCTAAACGGTTATTCGGATCTTGATAAATCTTTTTAGAGTTTGTCAAGGAAATTTTTAGTACTATTGTATAAATGGCAGAAATTTATATTATATATATATATATATATTGAATGGTAGAGTCTTGGATTTGTGTATATTTTGTAGAGTTTCGAACAAGAATCCAAAAATAATACAAAATAAAAAAACAAGAAAAGTTTTTAATAAACAATTTCTTTATTTATTATATTGTTTACTGTCCACGTTTCGGAACTAGGTACGTTCCATCTTCAGGACATCTGTCAAGAACATGATCTTGATAGATTTAAGCAAACAATATGTTTAGGAATAGAAAATAGATTTTTCTTAAATAATAAATTATTGTAACAAATAATAATGTACAGAAATATGATAATATGATCAAAATGAAAATGATAAAAATAAATGAGGGATTATCAGAACCGGATATTAAAAATGATAGCAATTTTTTGAAAGTTATGGAAAATTTTTTTAAAAAAAGGATTAATGATAAATTGAATTAATTACCTGTAATGTCTGAATATACGTTAGCACTTTTTCACTAAACAAGAATTTTTGACAAGAATGAATTTGTGAGTTATTTTTTTCCGCCGAATAGTTAACTTTTGTAAATCAAAATCACTAAAAGTGTTGTCTTTTTTTTTTTAAAAAAATTATTATTTGAAAACAAATAATATTGTATTCGAATTTATACTATTGGCTTTTGGAAGCGAACTAAACTGTGTTTGATGGATTCATATGTAACACGTGTAAACACTTGAAACGAGAACTGTGAGATTGTGTGTGTGTGTTTTTTCATGTTAGGGTGTAAATACTTAAATTATTAAACTTAAAATGAAGTCGATATTAATTGTTTGTCAAAAAGTGTAAAAAATTTAAATATGAATCATGTAATAGGTTGTGATCTGATCTAATGTTGACACTGTTAGACACATTCATGAGAATGAGACAACTCTCCGCGAATAATCTCCTAAAGATGCAACTTTCATGATATAAAATCTTTGGAGTGACCTATTACATGATTCATAATTAAATTTTTTACACTTTTTGACAAACAATTAATATCGACTTCATTTTAAGTTTAATAATTTAAGTATTTACACCCTAACATGAAAAAACACACACACACAATCTCACAGTTCTCGTTTCAAGTGTTTACACGTGTTACATATGAATCCATCAAACACAGTTTAGTTCGCTTCCAAAAGCCAATAGTATAACTTCGAATACAATATTATTTGTTTTCAAATAATAATTTAAAAAAAAAAAAAAAGACAACACTTTTAGTGATTTTGATTTACAAAAGTTAACTATTCGGCGGAAAAATAACTCACAAATTCATTTCTTGTCAAAAATTCTTGTTTAGTGAAAAAGTGCTAACGTATATTCAGACATACAGGTAATTAATTCAATTTTATCATTAATCCTTTTTTAAAAAAAATTTTTCCATAACTTTCAAAAAATTGCTATCATTTTTAATATCCGGTTCTGATAATCCACTCATTATTTTTATCATTTTCATTTTGATCATATTATCATATTTCTGTACATTATTATTTGTTACAATTAATTTATTATTTAAGAAAAATCTATTTTCTATTCCTAAACATATTGTTTGCTTAAATCTTATCAAGATCATGTTTCTTGACAGATGTCCTGAAGATGGAACGTACCTAGTTCCGAAACGTTGACAGTAAACAAATAATTAAATAAAGAAATTGTTTATTAAAAACTTTTCTTGTTTTTTTATTTTGTATTATTTTTGGATTCTTGTTCGAAACTCTACAAAATATATATATATATATATACATATATCCATTACAAATCTATTTACATCTCGTCAAGAGTCTGTCTATTCTATTTAATTACGAAATGTCATCGCCATTTCTTCAACGATTGATCCACTCGAATTGTTTCGTTAATTATATAGTTGGCAAAGTCGTTAAATAGTGATCGAATCACAAATCGACACAAATAAAATCACAAGTGATCGGAATCACGATTTAATGCGATACTCATGTCTCATAACGAAGAAACACGACAAAATAGAAAGGGTGCTCCGCTGACGGATAAATGGGGCTCATATCGAAAATCGTTTCCTGGTACCGGAGATTGATAAGGAATATATATAATATATATATATATATATATATATATATATGTATATATATATGTATATATATGTATATATGTAACAAACAAAATTTAAATTTTTGACGTTTCAGATCTTAACGACAATCCTAACCTAAAAAATATTTTTTTGAAACTTTCAATTTATCTTTCAATTTTGGTGTAAACTAATAATTGCAATAAATATAAAACACCTGCAACTCAAATACTTTATAAATAAATACATTTATAATTCTTTATTTACAAATTTAACACAAACGTTGACAGAACATTCATAACAGAAGTGAATCAAATGTCAAATTTCGACAAATTGATTTTCACAATTATTTATGAGTATTCGTGTATAATAATAATTCCAATATGTAAAGCAGAGTGATAAATAAAGTACTATATACCTAAACTGACCTTAATAGACAAATAATCCATATTTTATTCCAAATCGGCATTTGGAATTTCACACTTGCCAATAATTCAAATCATAACTTAACTCTTTGAATTTTGTAAACATAACTAAATATAACAATACATAACAATAACATTAGTTATATAAATATAACAATAACTTTAATCATCCTAAATCGATCCTTAATGCACTAAAAAACTTTATTAAACTAATATTTATGAAGTGACAGGAGCGAGTGGCCGACATTTTGAATTTTTAACACAAGTTCACAAACTTTAAAATATTTTCAAATATTGTATATGATAGTTAAATTAAAACAATACAGTAATTGAACAAATTAAAGACAAAAATTATAGAAACGTACTAAAATTTTATAATTGATTTGAATAGTCTGAATTTAATTTGCACAATGACACAAATGTACTGACTACTGCAAATGACAGCTTGTCAAACTGTTTTTCATGAAGAAATATGTTTGACTAAAATTTGTAAATATTAATAATAGTTATATAAAATAAACTTTTAATAATATATATATAATTATAAATTTGCTATTAGTACGTTAATATAAATAAAATTATTTATAAACAGATTTGACATTTTGAATTTCGCAACAACCAACTTCAAGTCCTTGAGCATGACAGTACGCAATTCAAATTTTCAAATAATAAGTACAAATTAATTTACTTAATAAATTTTACAAAGCTAATTAATTATATAAAAACAATATAATTGTGCATTCAACGTACTATTTTTAAATAATTATTATTACATAAATATATGTAAATTCAACATGATTCAGAATTCACCAGACAGAATATAATTTATTTCGACCCGAATAATATATTTCGACATGACTAATTCTCTTTCTAGTATTCTGCAAAACTAATAAAATGATATCGCACCAAATTACTTAGAGGACATAAAGAGAACGTTCAACTAAACTAAACTCAACCAGAGGAGAACTTGTCTTCTCTTGGAAATTGTCCAACTATTTCGGTTTTACTCTTTTTCTATCTGTCGGGAGTTGTCTGATCTATTTATTACTCGTGTACGGTGGTCAGAGAGACGGATAAATGGACAGAGGACATAGGCAGAGTCATAGGGTCGAAAAATTAATCTAAAAAATTATATTTTAGAAATTCAAATCATGTCCGTTGAGAGGTTTGAACTGTCACCGTCAACGACTTGAAGTTGGTTGTGGAGTATATCGAGCAATTCAAATCGTGAAAATCTTTTTGGATTTTTTGTAATTTACCGTTTATTAACTTATTAATAGCTTATTTATATATTAAATGTTTATCTTATAAATCTTTATATTACATTTATAAACGTTAATTTACAAATAGATATAAAAAACTTTGACAATTAAAAACTGTCATACTCAACAACGTGAAGTTGGTTGCTGTGGTAGTTGTAAAATTCAAAATGTCAAAAATTTGTTTGTAATTCATAATTATCTGTTTTATTAACGTACTAAAAGCGTATTTATATATCAAAAATTTGTTTTATATATCAAGTCTAAATTTATACAAATAATAATCAAAAAAATTTTTTTGTTTTAATCACTTTTATAAAATTGACACTTGTCGGTCAATACAATTCTGTCAATGTGCAAATTAAATTCATAATATTTGAATTAATTAGGTAATTTCACGTACGTTTCTATAATTTCAGTCTTTAATTTGTTCAATTACTATATTGATTTAATTTAATTATCATAAACAATTTAAAACAATTTTTTTTTAATTGTTTAATTTTATTTTAAGGTATGTCAAATTGTTCGTTGTGTTAAAAATTCAAAATGTCGGCCGCTCGCTCCTGTCACTTCATAATTATTTGTTTAATAAAGTTTTTTAGTGCATTAAGGATCGATTCAGGATGATCAAAGTTATTGTTATATATATGTAAATAAAGTTATTGTTATGTATAGTTATATTTAGTTATGTTTACGAAATTCGAAGAGTTAAGTTATGATCTGAATTATTTGCAAGTGTGAACTTCTAAATGCCGATTTGAAATAAAATACAGATTATTTGTTTATTAAGGTCAGTTTAACTATATAGTACTTAATTTATCACTCTGCTTTACGTATTGGAATTATTATTATACACGAATACTCATAAATAATTGAGAAAATCAATTTGTCGAGTTTAGACATTTTGATTCATAACTTCTGTCAACGTTTGTGTTAAATTTGTAAATAAAGAATTATCAATGTATTTATTTATAAAGTATTTGAGTTGCAGGTGTTTTATATATATTCCATTTATTAGTTTACACCAAAACTGAAAAATAACTTGAAAATTGAAAAAAAAATTTGAGGTTAGAACTGTCAATAAGTAGTTGAAACATATTAAGCAAATTTGCTTACTAAAGAAACTTACTTTAAAATTGTAAAATAAATCAATAAATCATTTTATGCATACTTGATATATATAAAAATAATTAATTAAAAAATGTGTATTTGCACTTGTAAATTTTTGATTTTCTCAACTTCTATTTAGTTTTATTTGAGTAAAGACCAGACTATATAAAATCTACTAATGATAAATTTCTTCTATTATTAAAAATTAATTAAAAATATATATGAGACATTTTGTATAATAATAAAGCTGTCGTCATATAAATTTCCTTTGAAAGCAAACTATATTTGTTTGTGAATCCTTAATGGCAACAGTTGCAACTGTTGCAACCATAGATGTCACTTAAACCGACTATTGGAGGATTATTTCTAAATCCTTGCGAAATTTATAACATTAATATATATACATATATATATATATATATATATATATATATAGTTTGTATGCATTATATATACTTATATTTCCTCTCCAGATTTTAATGGCGCGTTAAAATCCTTAAATTATTGTTTATGAGATTATGAAATTTATCGACGATTATTAAGGTAATAAAAAATTGACGATTATATATATATATATATATTCTTAGATTATTGGCAAGTTGCCCAAAACCGCACTTCGATATGAGTAATATCGTTTATAGCACATTAAAATAACATATATGATTCAGTTTTCTCGTCAGTAGAGTCCCTTTTCCCGCCAAAAAATTTAATTTGAAATTTTAGTAAGAGAAATTAATTTGTTCGTCAGTACAGTCCTTTTTTCCGTTGGAAATGAGAAGGATTTTTTCGAAAATCAGTTTGCTCATCAGTAGAGTCCCTTTTTCTGCTCCAGTTAATAAGATTATCCTTTATCAGATGAGTCCTTTTTGTCGTAATAATTTACAAGATATTTTTCAGAAGTTAGTTTAGTAGAGTCCTTTTTCCTAGTTGGTATTTCCTAGGAGTTTTTCTGTAGTCAGTTTACTTGTCAGTACAGGAATCCTTTGGAAGTTTGATCCTCAGTGAAATTAGTTAAGGGTACACAAATGACCAAATGACCAAATATTGCAATAACTTGTCAATTCATCATCACTCGAAACTGATATCAGAAAAAGAAACAAAAAAAATTGATAAAATCAAGTTAAGTTAGTCAATCAATTTACCAAATGATTCGAAATTATGACCTATAATAAATATCAGCATTTTTCACGAGCAAAAAACCAATGAAAGTCCTAATAAAATTCTTCTCATCTCATTTAATGAAATCAATCAAGTTCTGCAGAATTTGCAAAAATTCGAGGGAACTAAGATGGAATTTATTTCTGGCGTAAAAAATAATGGATGCGTTTCTGCGAGCGTTTTGGTAATTTGCCAAAAAATCAGGAGACGGGTTGAATAAACCTTTTAAGGATATATATATATATATATATATATATATATATATATATAAATTATACATCAAAATGAAGTAAGATATTATGTTAGGTATGCTAAAACTTAAAAACAGCTGAACCGATTTGGCTAGATTTAGTCTTGAAAAATTCGTGCTAATCCAGAGATTGTGGGAAAGGTGAGAAATTATTTTAAAACAGTTTAAAAACTTTACATGTTTAATTTATAATATTTTTATAGAAACGTTATTGTAGACATGGATGGTGGCTCATACGTCAAATGTCAAATGTCAAATTGTTTTAACAGATTTTGTTCAAATAAATTTAAAAAAATGTTCTAGAGCAATATTATTTAATTGTAGTAAGTAGTTACGTTTAATTGTAGTAAGTAGTTAGTTAAAAACATTACTAAACGCGTCGGAAGTTTAAAAAGAAAGTATTAGAACCTCAAAATATCAACTTTTTTGAAATGTTTGAAATGACAATTTTTGGATTAATTCAACGTTTACCGGGTCAGCTAGTACATATGTATATTTGTTTGTTTTATGATATCATTTCAACATTGTTTTAAATTAGCAACGAAGGTTATTATTGCATTTAATTAATTAATAAAAATGATTAATGCAGATGCAGTGAATTAAAATGACGTTCTTAAATGCAGTAATTGTTTACGACGGCAAAATGTTACATTGTGAACAACGTTCATATCAATGTGGCAACACTATAATATTTAAAATCAGGAAAGGCGCGAAATTCAGACAAGAAAGTAAAAGTATTTTTGTCATTCTGATAAGATAAAAAAAATAATGGACTTAATAAATAAATATTGGAATTTAGCTATATAGGTAATAAAAATAATGAAATGATTCCTAGAAAATATACTAGTTTATTTGAATGTTATTTGTTTCGCTGCCGACAAGAACGATGGATGGACTTTCATCTTCATGAAAGAACGAGAATTCATTTTACATTGTTTTTAATAAGCATAAAAAATGGCGGATAAAAGTGGTAGAAAACAACACTAATAATAATGACGCGACATTTGAATTACAAAGTACAAATTAAATTACATATAACATATCATTACACATAAAATGTGACAAAGCAGTTTTGTCCAAATCTCAAACATTATATTTATTTAAATCAAATAGAATCACGTTACGGATTTATTTCGCCGACATTTAGACATTTTAAAACAAGTGCAGTCGATAAAATTAGACGACACGATGAAATGTTTTACGGAGATCGTAAAAAAATTTACTACTGCCGTTAAATCAACATAGACGGAGAGCTTGAAGGACAAATAGAATAAAAAATACTAGGACAATGTTTTTCTATATCCACAAAAATATTTTTAAATGGATT